AATAAATAATTTGGATAGTATCCTAACCTACTTAAATATTTATAAGTATTGACAAAAATGTCAGAACCTAGGCATTCCAAATGTTGTTTCAGCCTTCGGAATTTGAAATCGTTAATTTTGGTTTGCGTGCTACAAGGCCTATGACACTCGTATCGTCAACATGCCAGCTATTAAATGTCACCTGCAGCAGTTCATGATTTGTGATCGAAAAGGTAAACCGCAAAAATAAAAGAAAACTGGTACGATGAATATATGCTTGTTACATTTATGTATATGTACATGTACACACACACATATGTGATATGTATAGCACTTGTATGTCTAGTGTGACCTGTAACAAAATAAACTGTATATTATATTTTCATATAGACAAACACATATAGATATGCATATACATATGTATGAGTACATGAATGTACGTATAAATATTTGTAGATAAATATATGTATATTTTCTTTGTGCAAAGGCATGTTTGGGGAAAAGCGAAAACAGGAGTGCCTTTAGGGGTTGAGTGAAAGAAAAATGAACTGCAGTTAAGCGCCAGTCAATAAAGGTACATTCATACTCACATATATGTATATACATATATGCATATACATACCAGTCTCTTTATATTTATGTGTGAATATGAATATACGTTTCTATTGTACATTAGACATTGAAGCAAATGTAATAAATTTCAAACGGTATAATATTTATAAAATATATTTAACATCTGTTCGTTCAAAAAGGAACGGAACTACGAACAGAAATTATTTGTGTTAGCAATGTACTTTTTTTAATTACCCATGTTATATAGAAAAATATGTTTTAACCTTAACAGAGTCTGAAGTAATAAATCTATTTACCACATGTCATGCGTATATGGGTAACAAACATATGCACATATATCTATGTCTTTCAAACGCTCCTAAGTATAAATACAAATACTACATATAAATTATTTGCAATTGAAACAATCATTTGGCTTATAACAAAGAAATTATGTCATGTTTCAAATGCATTTTCGATTGAGTTTTTCGTTAAACGACGTTAAGATGGTTATCTTTCAAAGTAATTCTTAACCAAGTATTGCTGTTTTGTCTACATATGGAGGGACATAAAATTTATTCTAATCTGTGTACGAACGCCGGTTTGCATTTTTTTCTTGTTTTTCTTAATTTAAAACTCATATGCAGTGTTAGCAAATGTTTTCAGCGATCCAGCTAAATGACAGGAAAATAGAAACAATATGCACCCAGTAAATTCTGTGAATAAAGCTAAAAGTTGAAAGCAACAATTCTATAGAGTTTAGGGTTTTTTTCGGGAAAAAAAGACACTCACCTATAAATGAAACTCTTATATCTACCAATTGAAGTTAATTCGTACAGTCATCTCGCATTTTATTAGGAATTACCGTTTTTGAATATAAATCATCTTCCATCTCCTTCTATCATTATATTCTGATGTTATGCACTGGTCACGGCGGATGAGTAATATAATAAAATTCGAATTTAATTAAATTCGTTGCATATATATTTTTCATTTGCCAAAGAAGTTAAAGAACATAACAGGCTAAAAATAAATATAACTGGCAGAGAAGCAGATGATACGAAATTAGCTGCTCCACTTTTTGAAAAATCTTAAATTTAAGCGTCAGAGCCTATGGTGTAGTCATAACTTTTTATATTTATAATAACTATATTTATAATTGTTTCTCTTTTAAATAAATAACTATTCTGAATAATAAAGATTTGTTACTTTTCTTTAACACCCGAAATTGAATTTGGTATTCTGGCGAACTGGTTACAATGTTTGAAAAAAATTTGGCAGCACTGCTTTTTTGTCCATGTCAAAGTACATTTGCTAGTTGATAAAGTAAAAAGAAAAATATTCACATCGAAATGGAAAACAGTGCACAAAAAAATTAAAAGTTTCATTATTTTGTTTATTAAATCATAAATATTTGAACCTAATTATGGAAAATATGTCTGGACAACAAAAAAAGCTGAATGAAAACCTTATCTTACAAATTAAAGGGCTATTTTTTAGTCTCGAAAACTTCTTAAAATACGGCTTTTTGCACATTTTTCTTCGTCTTCAATTAATTCCAGTCCTAAATATGTATACCCATTTTTTTTCTCAAACTTACAACACAAAATCAAATAGCAGATATTTTTGTTACCTCCTATTTCGCTGGTAACAAATTTTTCAGGGTGACAGTGAACTCGAATACGAAATGGTAACAAAATTTACTGAATGGTAAATTTTAATACCTAGGTAAATTTTGTTACCTCTACAGAATAGGCCTGTAATTGTCAAATTTGTTTGGTCATTGAATAATAAGTACTATTCCATTTATTTATTCCATTTAGCCATTTCGATTACCTCAATACTCTGATGTCGATTGTTTCAGTAATATTGTATCTGTTCTGGCCGTGATAAAATAATATAATATAATATAATCTGTTCTCTATAAAATTTAATTTACATTTTAAAAAACCATCAAACTTGTGGTGTTTTTCAAATAAAAATTTAATCTTCAGACGATGGGGGAATTACTATTGTTTTGTTTGGCCAGAAACTGAAAGATCTCGTGGGTCTTAAGAAATTTCATCTTGTCTAATAAAGACATATGCTGTAAACTTCGAAAAAATAATAACATATTCGGATTCGTATACCGGGCAAAAAAGAAATATTGAGTTTATTGAGACTTGTTCAAAGCACGGAAATCAAAGCTGAATCAATTGACATGAAATTTTTGGTAAGTGAACACAGCTTTTTGCCCAATGACTCAGATTTTACCATTATTGAGTCATGTGCAAAATAAATCAAAACATTTTTGAAAAATATAGATTAGCCTTTATTATAACTTAAAGGTAGAACTGTGACAAATAAAAAAATGAAGAGACAAGATGGACCTGCTAAAATTCATTTAATTCATTTCAGTTAAAGGCGAATACAATAATAACTTGTTAACAAATCGAAATGGCGAATTCTCGCATACAGCTGATGAAGAGGACGTTATTTATAATATTGCTGAATCATCCCAAAGAATAATGAAATATGAATTAATTACAAAAATTATATTATAACCGAACTGCTAACATTCATTTTTATGGAAAAGCAGTGATAAAAATGTATATTAACTAACTTTCCTTAATAAAAAATTTAAAAATGTAAAGACTAAATTTAACTTAATTTCTTTTTTCAGTTGCCAAATTGATTAACTCCACCAGTCGCATAAAAACTGCATACCGTTAGATGAAAGCTATATCTGCAATTATGCATTCTACATTATATATTTTTCTATCCGTAAAGAAATTAATTCATTATTCTTTAAGATTTTTATTACTTTAGGCGCAGATATTGCCTGGACACAAAATAAAGCGATTCCCTTCAAGCATGCTAGAATACCTCACAGGTACACCTTGGTATATCCGCAACGGAAATATGTCAAAACTAACCGAATCCTCTAGCGAACGTTTTATTCTTCCCAGCAAATCAAACTCGCCATCGAAGAATGGGTCTTTCAGTATTTTAAAGTCTAAAGGACTAAAGCAGTAATTTGTTAGTTATTAAAATTCTAAAACTTATTATTGGGCTTAAATTAAACAGATTAATTAAAAAAATTTCTTTTGTGTGTTAAAAAAAAAATTTTAAATGTTCTTAAAACCTTTGCAGAAGGTCATTACTGAAGTTTTTTTTTATCTCTAAAAAAACATTACAAAATATTAATCATATACTGAATCGCAATAAAAACAGGTAATGGACGGACATACAAATTTATTACACTTATTAGACAGCTACTTTATAAGAAGCCATAGTTTAAATTATATCCAATATTTTCTATTTACGTAATTGTTAGATTTGACCCTATTCTTCTGTTGGCGAAACAGCTGTGGTGAACTTTTTATTTGTTTTGTTGTTGTTTTGTGTAGCAATTTTTGTTAAGAAAAATCGCTCTTCACTTGGGAATAACCTAGCACATTCATTCATATGTAAATGCATATATGTACATATTGCATTGTAGACAAATTTGATGTGTCGTCGGCGAACGCTAGCCGTCATTCGCTGCAGGAATATCGTAAATTGTACACAGCTTGTGACACATATACATACATATTTAAACTCTACACGCGATTGTTTATATATATGAAAACATATTTATGTATATAAAAACATACATATATATATATATATATATATATATATATACAGCTACATACCTTTTTTTGTTTTTTTACGTACAGTGGCACATATATGTATAACTTAGCGGTTTTTGTAAATTGTGTACTAAATATAGCTTCAACCCTGCAAAAAACGCGACAATAGATTAAAACAATAGAGTAATCCAAAATAAACCAAAATCCACACAATTAACATTGCGATGTCCTAGGGCAGGACCATATAGTCCAATAGTCCACCTCTGCATAACATTAGAGTAATTCTTGGACTACCTACAGTGGGTCACATTATGGAGTATAATTGAAAAAGAACATTCGTACATAATCTACGAGAAATAATCTCATTACGCACATGCGTCTCCGTTTAGTAATTTCGATCGTTAAAACTCGATCAAATATCGGCTAACAACAGAGTGGTATCGAGGCGGTGAGAATATACAATAGTTAACTACCGAGGAGTACATATTGGATTACACCCATGGACCATATGGTTCAAAAATTTTTTTCATGGTACAAGCATATGCAAATGTGCGTATGAATGTATGTATATGAATATGTATATGTATATATATGAATAGTTCATGTGCTTTAATTGCATTTACATATATGTATATAGAGAAAGCTTTTGTATTGTTGTATATAAATACATTGGTAGATAGATACATATCTGCAGAGTGCACTGCACTCGTATCTGTCTGCTTACATATATGTATTATTTCAATTTAATCGATCAGGTGCAGGATGACTTTACTAATAGAAACCTAAAAAACCAAACCAAAAGCATTTCTTATATATTTTCGTGTGTTGTTGCATGAATATGCATATGTAGATTACCTTTATTTTCACAGTTCCATATAGTACGTTCTAACAACACCAACAATAAAGCTGCAGCTTACACAAAAGCACCTCATTGCGTTCTCAGTGTTGCGGATGAAATCACTATATTAATTTATCCAGATATTTTCAAATGCAATATTTCATATGTTTCAGCGTATAAAAATTTTAATTTGGATATGTATATATGCAAAGATATGCACAATTCGCCAATCCAATGGAAATATTTATATTAACATAACACAATCACTTCAAACAAGCATATGCACACACATTAGCACTAAGTACATAAGCATTTATATACTTAAGTATACATATAATAAAATTTATATATGTATGTTTATTTATGAACATAAATATATACTTTTTATATGCTTGCACTCACACTTATTCGACCCTTTTCCATTTAATTTTTCTCTATTACATTATTAAACTTTTATTATTAGCACCAATATCATTCACTAGTACATTCTTTTATTCGAATTATTTTATTTTTTATAGATACAACTTTTTTTTACAGTGTATTTGGGAGGCGTGGATGCACTAGGACACTAAACTAGGGTGTCGGAACATACGCGCCGCTGTTCTCTTATTCTCCACAGCTTATCGATGCGATGTTTCCGTTTGTGTTGTTTGTGCGATACTGAAAATTCGAAAATCTTACACCGTCGTTGTTGTTTGTTGCATGAAAATTCGTTACTTTCCCTGTTCGTTCGCTCCCATGCTCGGCTAAAGTTTTGCTTTTTCGTTCACGATTCATTTCGGTTGTCATCGTGTCGCTCACCTCTTCATGCCATCAATCTAGTCCAACAACTTTATTCCTTCAGTTCTTTTATTATTTATGTCATCTTATCGGAATACATACATATGTACATACTCGTACATACTTCCATATGTGGGGAAGTATGTGCTTATTTCGTTGAAGTTATGCTAAATATTATCTGGCAATTTTCGTTAATGTATCAATCTCTGCTCACCTGCCGACTTGCTCTAAATATATGTATATGATTGAACATTTGTACGTGTGTATGGTATTAGAACAGACCGGCGTTTTTAATATTCACATTACGATTGGGTTTTGTTTCATACTAGTACTGGGGATCTCTTATATATAACGTGTCCTTACTTTAACACCTGTGCATTCTTAATTAATATGTGCCTACCCCTTTAAATTTGTACATATTTATATGTAGTGCCTAAAACTGTATTTATATTATATATCTTTCTTTATATATGCTTCATAAGTACATACGATATATCACATAAAAATCCCTCACTTTCCTCCTGCAATGTACATATATATATATTGTATGTACTTCGGTTTCGACAACATACCTATACGTATGTATATACGTGTATATACATGTACGTAGAGTGTGGAATAGATTACAGTACAAACTTTTAACTCTCGCGCGTATAATCATACTCAAAGTAAGTGTGTAGTTACATATTTTTGTATTGTTCAAATGCAATATGGAGTAAATATGCAAAGAACTATAGCACATTGGCCACTATGTGCATTGTCAAATTAATACCAAACACAAGTGTAAGAATTATTTGCTTTGTATATACAGTATGGTGCAAAAAATATAATCACAGTAAAAAGTTAAAGAAAATATAATTCAAATAAATCGGATTAGAATCACCAAAAGAAGTAATAAATTTTATTGAATATACATATAATATAATAATTACCACCTTTTTTACGGTTTTCGGTCAAACTTCTCGTCTTGAAGTTTAATAACATAAATAAGTGGTTGGATGTGTGACATTGATTTCACAAATGAAAGATATATGTTTTCAAAGTTTTCCAAATAGTTTATGTTTAACCATTTGTATTGTCGAAACAATATCTTAGAGCAAGCAGTTCTGAATGACTAGAGTTATCTAAAAACTAATTCGTTGTTCCTAGGTTATATTTGATATACACAAACTCATACAAAATGCTCTTATTTTTTCAAAATTTTTAAAGTATTGAATACTTGCAGAATCTGTATGCAATATATATGAATATCTGAAGGTCCGATAAGGTAAGATGATTTGCAAAAATACTTTTAGGTCTTCCTATATATATCTTTCCTTTTTACTTCATTACAAAAGAATAATATTCGGTGAATTTTTCTTGACTCCACCCATTAAGTAAGTCAATTTACTAGGCTGAAGGCTTCGCAGGGTTAATAAGATACAATGCAATTTCCTAAATACCTTGAAATTTATAAAAAATGGATACCTCTAGAGTTAGCCTTAATTGAAGTGAATTCTTTTTCCTTTTTGAGAAAATTTTTTAAAAATTTATTTGCTAAAAAATTCGCATATTTACTTCATTGCATTTTATTGTATTCTGCATCTAATCAAATACAAACATATGCACATATGTTTATATGGATTAGCTTGTGTAAAAGCAGGCAACATAGAGTGCATGCGTACCCACGTACGAGTATGTACAATAAATACATGTATGCATATACATACAATTGTGAAAATGACGAAATACTTAACAAAACGCAATGAAATTAACTTTCCCTACATTGGTTAACACTGGTGACTCAAATCCATATGTATGTATGTTATGTACGAGTATATGTTGTAAACTCAATTGCCCCCCTATGGTGCACTCTTGGCCACAGAAACTTTCACACGTACTCATATTTAGAATTGGCTCAACATTGCTATGACTCGCAAGTATTTTCGATTTTCTGAAATACAAATATTTACAATTTAGTGTATGTATGCAGCAAATACATGCCTTCCATATGTATGTATTAGATTGAAGCACAAACGTATGCAAATATTAGCATACTTTCACATCCATAAATAAATAAATTACTATGCTTAATGCATACGTCATAACTTTCCTGTGTTCTTGGTTTTTCCACACACCGAGTTACTCCTTGATTTGTATTATTATCTTTTCTAGAAATGAAGGGACATTTCGAACGCCTGGTGGACTTTTATGAAAACACAATTACGTTTTCATGTCAGAAATATATTCGAGGTTTTTGATATTTCCTGCCTACAGCAGCTTTTCAACTCATTTAACTAACTCAAAAATTTTTTAGCTAAAAATTAATTGTTTTTATAGTCAAAACAAATCTTTTCTTGCCTTATTGTCCTGCAAGGTAACAGGGTAAATTTAAATGTACGACATAGAAATCTTCGTAGCTTTTTTTATTTAATATTGCTTTTGTCACTACAACAAATGTATGTGCGTACGGGTGCGCCAGAAATTTTGATGTTCTTTTGTCGAGGACTAATTTAAGAACTGTGTTAAGAATAATTTATGCAATACTCTGCACAAGTACTTTAGTTATAGTATGTATATTCTATATTTTTCATTTATTTTAATCGTAATTAAAATTTCTAAGTTTTAATATGGGCTAACGAAGCCCAGGTAAGTTTAATGTTCTTAGACTAAATAAATAAAAATATATACATGTATGTAATTGCATGTACATAATTTAATGAAATTAAATACATTCAAATTAAAAATCAATTACTATAGAAACAATTGGCCTTATTTTTATTTTTGTTTATGTTACTATTTAAGTAATTGTTACTTATACGCCCCGGAACAAACGCCTAACCAATATCAACTTACACTCAGAATTAATTGAAATAAATCAGCTTAAAACTAAAAACTTGCATTATATAACAATTGAAAGATGGACTTCAATTCGACTTTGTAATGGCTTTCGTTCGTCAAGAGGGTGATTATGCATTGGATTTCAAGACTGACCTTTTTGATTGTGTTTATGCTAATGTTCCCAATGTTGAGGTCTAACGGCTCGAAGAGGTTTTTCATAATCTTAATGGAACTTTTGCTGTTGCCTAATGCAAGCTTATATAACCATACAAGTTTCTCGACGATACAAAATTGAGACACAGCAGGGTAGGGGCATCTTCTTTTCGTGACGAAGGGTGCCTTAAAATCGACGAATAATGCAATACGCTTGATAAATCTTATTTGCGATATGAAAGAGGGTTATCCCCTGGCAATTACCATGTATTGGATAGAGCACACTTAGGCTCGAATTTTGGCATGCATGCCTTCAACTGGGGTGTCGGGTTCGCCATCGCCTTGTATTTCCATTTTCCTTGCCATTCAACCGAGCTCTTCATCTCATTTATGAAGTCTTGATGTTTTTTCTAAATATTAACTACAGCTTATTCAAAGCCATCTGAAGTATATAGAGTCCTAACTATAAAGTTCACTTTGACATAATTGAATCCTATCAAAAACAGTTTTGTTTTGCCACAGTTCTTTATGCAAAAGTCTTCGGATAGCGGCACAAACAAGCGTTCAAAGAATAGGACTTCAAGATATAAATCTTCAGTAAAGTTACGACGAAAAAAGTGATCATTTGCCGACTCCCATCCGGTAGTGCAAAACTGGAGTTCTGAAAAGCAGACCCATGTTCCTGGGACGATATTAAGTTCGCATTACTCGGCGAAGTTCAAAAGCAAAGTAGTACTAAAGATACACTCCCAAGACAGCCGGAACAGAGTTGACCCGAATTTCATCCGGTCAAGGACTGTCACCCATTCGATGACCGAACCCCGTTCAAGTCAACAGGTAACATTAGTTTAAGTTCGCCAACGGAACAACACCTTGCAGCTGAGTTGCTCCAGATCCTTCTTATCAGGGCTGGCTCCGATCCCGGAAATACCCTAATCAGGGGTTTAAACGCGAAGATTCGCGGTGTAGTTAACAACCACTAGCGGAAAAAGTGGGAGGAGCACTTAAGGACCAACAACGTCTAAAGTCAAATCGTTGTCTAACCGGACGAGACGCGATGACCGGGTGGAAATTTCATTCGGTGATCGCGCTCCGTCGGACCCGAAGAGATGCGCGAACTATTTTAGCCGACTTTTTATACTGCATCCTTCCGTACACAAATCGAAGCTACGTGTAACCCGCCGTATGCGCAATCTGCCAAACACCAGCGCGGCGCTTGATTTATCCCTAATGATATCTGACGTATGGAAAACGGCCAGGGTGGTCTCGCTACTCAATCCAGGCACCCGTTGCTGAAAGCCTATTCCCTCTTATTCTCCTTGACTTGAATTCGGAATTTTTTTAAATCAAAATGGTTGAGGAGTGTATTAAATATTCTTAATTTGTCATTCCAAATAGCCAATACGAGTCTCCGAGGAAGCCTTTCGAACTTAAATGGAAAGATATATTTTCCAAATATTTCTTACTATAATTTTAGAAATTGGAAACAAAAGCTTGACAGTATACTTCAGTATACTACACTATTAGAAGAACCATCAAAACTAAGTAAAAGTAAATTAACATATAATGAAATGGAATATCTTAGCTATAGAGAATCAGACAACAACCATAATGATCTACCCTAACCAAAAAAAATGGAAATTAAAATCTCTTGTAGATTAAAAGCTGTCGTTGATTTTAAATCGTTCACAGATAATGTTAAACGTTGAAATTGGAGTTTGATATTAAATATAAATTTTAAAATCTACGTTAGCTATGATTTTTGTGCGGTTTCAACGTTAACGATTTAATTTCGTTTCTATAACATTTCGCCGAAACGAGTTAATTTTTCGTTTAAGTGAAACGGAACCATATCAAACTTTGCAAAACCTTAAGAAAAAATTTCATTTTATTACGGTTTAAAAAATTATAAAGAGAAACAAAACTTCATTAAGATTCAAGAGGGAACTGCTTTGGGGCAATTTTACTGTAGACAAGTTTCAAAAAGAACTTCTTAAGCTAAACGTTACGTTAACTCTTAATAGAAAACTAATTAATTGTAGAATATACGGCTGGGTATCAGAATTACAACATTATAGCTATACCATATCTCATAGGACAGTCACAAAAATACAATATAGAACTAAACTCGAAGTATGTGTGTATATACTTTCAGTTACAAATGACCCAGCCCCGAGATCAAGACGAAGTAGTTTAAAAGAAAAATAGAAACTAATTGTATGAAAATTTATGCAATGGAAAATGGTAAAGTGTTTAGAAAAAAATAAAAATACTGCAATTATATTTTGAAACTTTTACTAAATAAGTAAAAATATACCCAGTACTTACAAATATTTTGAGAACTATAGTCAAAGATGTATTACGGACGGAGGTAGTTGGCTTACATCGAAAGAATCCGAAGAGTATATAACAAGTAAAAACATAACGCAAGTAAAAGTAGCACCAAAGTAAATTTTATTACTTCGACAGAACAGGCCTTTAAATTTCCAAATCTCTAAATAGAGAGCGCTATTTCGACGTTTAGTTAAAGAGAAAGTTACAAATTATTGCTGGGAAAATTTAATCCAGTAAAAACTAACAATTATGAAAAACAGCTGTTTTATGATCATATGATTGAAGTTTTATCAACAAAGCAAAATTGATTTAAGATTAAAATAATTTTAATTCTTTAATATGAATTATATGTCAAGAAAATAAGTGGCTAAATAAAATGTTATTTAATTTAACTAAGCAATATTAAGGATCCCAGCTTCCGTTGAGAAATTACAAGGTAGGTAGTCCAAGAATTAGAATATATTCTTATTTTTAATATAACGATTGATTTTGGATTTCTATAATTTACCAGAAAGTGGCGACCAAAACAGCCGCATAACAAGTTCTAAGCAAAGTTGTTGCTACGGTCACAGTGGCCATAATACATTTAAAGCTTCCGGAAGCGACAACGAAGCATAAAATGAAATATCAGCTGCTTGGTTTTTATTTAAACAGAATCGAACAAACTCTTTAATTTTTTTGATTTTCGTATTTAAGTCATCCTTCCTGAAAATCTAAGCGACAAATTGTTTCGAAGCAAAGAGGAAGTGCAATAAATTTTTAATACTATTAATAAATTAAAAAATATATAACCGCCAAAATAAACAGCTGCAAGCAAGAGCTTTATTTTTTCTTCTAAATGCCACTAATATTTCATTTTGTGCCTCGTCGTCACTTTCGGAAGCTTGAGAATGCATTATCGTCACTGCGACGGTTGCAACACCATTGCTTCGCTACGTTTTGTGGCTCATTTGGTCGACACTGCTTTCTAGTAAATTATTGAATTCCAAAATCCATTTGCGTTGGACTAAAAACAATAATATTATATATTCTAATTCTATGCCTTTAACCTTCCTAACTTCTAATTTCTCAACGTAAGCTTGGTGATGATTCCCCTCCACTGACACCTCAATCTTATTTAACGAGTACCTTACCTATTCAATTGAAAAGTTAATGTCATTAAATTTATTTTATCTAAATTTTTTTTGAGAACTTTTTGTTTTAGTGTTATTGTTGGTATGTTGACTAAAATTCAAACATATCATCACAATTTGAATAAGCAGTATGATAAAAATACTTGCTCGTTTTTACCGACTGACAGTTTCCCAGATCGAATGAGCTACTCCAAAATAGATGTCCAAATTTGCTCTTGCGTTACTAATTTTACGGTTTTTTTAGCTCACCGAACGCGATTGTTCCTGTTCATCAGGTCACCGAACAAAAGTAATGTAGGTATACGCATACATATATGTATGTACACTCAGCAAAATTCGTATTCATACATTGCAGTATTTTTATTTAAAATGTAATTATACAATAAGTGAATTCAAGTCGCGAAATTTAAAAATTATGTGAAAAAATAAATACTATTTCAAGAAAAACTGTAAATATTAAGCAAAAGTATAATCAACCAACACAAAATTCGTATTTATACACCAATTGATTGTTCGCTAATATAGTAAACGTAGAAAGTAACGTTGGTTAGAGCAAATATTTCAGGTCTCCGAAATTAAATTAGTGTTATTTTTGTATAATATGAATTATTTTCATAAAATGGGCAGAAAACGTTCGGAAGTTCCAAATGTCGTTCGGGAATTGGCTCTAGAAATTCATAAGGATGAAAAATTTATTCAAGAGATCGGAAAAATCAAAAACCACAGTCACGCAATGGACCAGTGTTAGTTAACAATTTTAGAAAGTACAAAACAGTTCAAAAGAGGCGCCGAAATGAATGCAAAAATAAACTTTATCGTAGAAATATGTATATCCTGTTTAGGGAAAGAAGTACGTAGGCCCCTAATTTCATCACCGATGTTAGCAAAATTTTTATTAGATTATCAAGAAGTAGCTGTAACAGCGCAAACCGTTCGTAACGCTCACCGAGAATAAAAAAATAGAGGTGGATCTGCTGCAGGAAAGCCTTACATAAATAAGCGCGTCGAGCAGAATGAAGCGTTTAAGATGGTACAAACACAAAGATTTTCGGCTCGAGAGGCGTGTCATAGTCACTGATGAATCCAAAATTAATATCAAATACAGTGATGGAGCGGTTAGAATACGGCGCGAAAAGAACAAACGCCTTCATCCCCCAAATTTTCCGCCCGCATTTAAACAATGTGGAGGTACCGTCATGTTCTGGGGGTGTTTCGCAGCAGGAGTTGGAAACCCAGTCCCCATCACCGGAATTATGAATGCTATGAAATACATTGATATTTTAATTCTGAATTCAAGAGCCGATAAGCTTGGATTAGGTTGCCGTTATCTATTTCAAAATCACAATGTCCTAAAGCGTTGGATACCCGCCTTTGGTTCTTGCACAAATGTCCATTTTATTTTAAAACGACACCGCAATGCCCAGATATAAGAGAATTTATGGTATATCGTTAAGAAAGCGTTGAATAACTACAAGATTAGGAACGAAAAGCATTTGAAGAATGAATTGCAAAAGGAATGGAAAAATATATCATAAAAATTTACAAAAAAAGTTAGTTAAACCTATGCAACGGCGATTACAAGCAGTTATAAAAAAAATGTTTTCCAACTAAATTCTAATTTTAACTCCTTTAGTTGTCAATTTTTAGTTTTTGCTTATATTTAAGGGTGTATTAATACGACTTTTGCTTTGGTTGTTTATACTTTTAAAAATTTATTTATAGTTTTTCTTTAAATAGTACTTAATTTTATACAAAATTTAATAAATTTCGTGAAGTGAAAGCACTTTGTATCCGAATTGGTGTTTTGATTTAAACTTTAGTGGTTAAGTTACATATTAAGTAAAAATAAATATTGGGCTGTATGAACACAAGTTTTGCTGACTGTATGTATATAAGACTAAAAATGTACACTCGAAAGTGAACTCACCACAACATACATATGTATAATTTTATATTAGGAGATTGACGAGAAAATCGTGCAGCTCGTATGGAATATAACGGCAGCCATTCCTGACATATGTTGGCTCAAATGATCTTCTTGTAGAGTTGTTAACAAAGCAAAGTAGATTTCATCCACTCTATAGCAGTTTGTGAATAAAACCGATCACTTATTGCTAAGCCTTTTTATAATTAAAAAATATAATTTATGTTTTTGAAATATTTTAAGCAGCGGTTATATTCTTGAAAACATCAGAAACATTTCCTTAGTTGTTGTTGTTGTTGTAACCGCAAGTTATTCCCCGAATTGGTTTTCGGGGAATATTGCGGGAGTGAAAGTCCTTGGCCGAATAAAAAATCCGGGTCGTTCCGGTATAAAGACCCGACTGTCGCGGGAACTATTGGATTTTAGTCGCCTCTTACGACAGGCATGCCTTACCACGGGTAAATTCTTGAGCCCCTAACCCGCAGGAATACATTACCTTAGTAAAGGTTGTTAGTGAATAACAGATCGAATTAGTTAATATTGGTCGATAGATCAGGCCGATAGCGTCCGTTGCAAGATTAAGTAATAACTTATAATTTATAATTATATTTCAAATAAATAATAATAATAATAATGATCGATAGATATTTTAAGAAAGTTAATACACTCGCGCTTTTTGATTACTATCCGATCATAAAGAAATTGTTGTATAGGAAAATTTTTCATATTGACCCATTGAAGCGCAGAAAATTTCTAAAACTCCTGCTCCCACACATACAATATAAAATATTGTTTAAAAAAAAACTGATTTTGTTAAATGTTTTATTATTAGCCAAAAGGAAAGCGGTTGCGAAACTGTATTAAAATTAGTAAATCGTCTGGACCTATTTCGCACAACCATCGAATTTTAGGTGATATATGGAATTAAATTTTTTTATTTCGTATTAATAAGAATATTTTAAATACTTAATAAAAGAAGAGCATATTACAATACCAAACAATATAATAAATCAGTGTATTTAAAGACGAATTTGATACCAAATTTTAATATTGTTTATTATAATTCTTATACAAAACTTAGTAATATTCATACCACACAACTTAATTCTAAATTCTGTTAAATTATTTTAACATTTCTTAGTTTTATGTTTATACAAATAATATATTTATGTATAATTAGTCTCTCATTTCACCCTCTTCGTCTTCGTCATCTACTCCTTTTATATATAATACATTATTACAACGGATGAGAACTTCTCCCAAGTTTCCTGAAATAAAGATAAAACACCATATTTACATATATAAATGGCATATATATTGTACAATATTTTAACGAACACAATAATGCATGACACTAGTTGTTTCATATAACTTATACGGCTTTGTAAACTGATGTTAAGTAACACCAAAGCCACCGTTAGGATCGGGAAGGACCTCTCCGGGTCATTCAATACCAAACGAGGCTCCAGCTGCTTCTTTGTTCTTTAAACTGACAATCGGTATTCGAAACTTGTCATAGTCGGGTAATGAAAAGTATTTTCCTTTTTAATCTATTGAAGTTTCTATATTCTGCATTTTCCCTTCCATCCCTTCCTTGAGGTCTATAGTAACGTTGCTAGCTAGGCAGTCTTTTTTCTCCCCACTGCGGCACTGCAAACCTCATCGTACAAGCAGTTTTTGTCCGCCTTTTACAAAATTATGGACGTTCTTGTGCGGATATCTGTGTGAATTTCCTCCGACTGTTATACTAAAATTAGTTTCTTTACTCACACTGGCGTTGAAGTCGCCAAGCACAATTTTCACATCTTAGCGAGACTAGCGCTCAAAAGCGCGTTCTAAACTCTCAAAGAAAGATTCATTCACTGGAATGAATGCCTGTCATCGGCTGCGGAGGGTCTCTCCTATCTTTCTACGACCGCTATAGTAAATTTCAAAGGGGATAACCTACTTTTCCTTGTCTTGCCAACACACTTCTGGGAAGGATTAAACACTCAAGGTGATAATTTGGATTAAATTTTCATATGCTAAATCGATGGTTTGGTAATGAATGAGAAAAACACGAAATATATCCTGTCATCAGGCAAACAGCCATCGCAATCATGATTCGTCTCTCACGTCACTGATTACATGAGTAGTGGATTTGCTTATTGCTTTTGGTCCTTTGAACATTGACTTTCAAAGGTTTTCGAAACAGAAATATTCCCCTCCACTAGAAAGATCATAATAATTATGTTCAATAACCATGTTCACCAAATTAAAATTTCTCACGAAGTACGAACAGAATGAACAATGAAATTATAGTGCTCACTATGTGTAGAAAACCCATGAAAAATGTACACCACAAAGCAAAGAAGAACCTGGATAAACAATCACCTTAATATATATTAAAGTAACCAACTTCTGTGTAATAGCAAATTCATTAATTCAAAATTATCGAATCAGGAAATTCAAAATATGGAATCTTACCAGTGACTTGTCCATCAGCAGTGTGTTCCTCAGTATTAGCTAATTGCATGTTCATGTAGCCATCCACTGAAACCAAGTAGCCTTTATATTCATGACCCCATTTCAACTTGATAATCACGGCTTTTCCAGTCAGACCATTAAGAAATGGTTTAGGATTAATGGGCATAGCAGCAGACATGTTTACAATTTAATTATAATACCACACAGGAAAAAAAAACCGGCAAATAAATTTACACACGTTTAGCAAAAACGAATCCTACGAATGTGCAAAACAACGATACCTTAAGATTTATCGAAATTACTATTGGAAGTACCGAAGCTGCGAAGCCTATTGGCAACTTTGTTATAGTGCGCCTAGACGAGATAAATACTTGGCTGTTTTGACATCAAGCTATTCCAGTATTATAAAATTTGATTTTTTTTTCAAGAATTTCAAGGTTTTATAATATGTAATAGCTCTATTTTCTATGAAATAGCACGGAAATCATTAGACATCGCAATTATATCCCATAATGGATCAAGGCTCGTTTTCACATTGTTCGATTAACTTAACCTTTAACCGGATAGTTAAACGTGTTTCGTGTTCACCAAGTTCTGGTTATTTAAATTCTGCTTAGTTCGATCATTGTAAATATTTAAATGTAAATTTACAGCAATTCATGACAGCTGGTATTTGCTTATATTTTTCCACAAGATATGATTGAGCAATTTTTAAGATGAAGATCTTTCTTCCGATTTCTCTTCTATTTATTTAAATTTTAATTTTTAGTTACAGAAAACAATTGTAATTCAGTGAATTTTATTTGATATATTTTTATTTGGAAAGAATTACTTTGATGGTTTTAAATTACATGTATATATGTATATGGTTTCCTCGCACCTCGTCGACATCAACGGATATTTCAGCTGGTTCCTCAAAATTAGAGTCATTCTAGATAGCAAGCTTGTTGCTGACAAACCATAACCACTACCATCCATTAAATTCGTTTTGCTGAAACCGTTGGTTCAGACAGCTATTATTAAAAATAACGCTATCATATCCAGAACCAGTAGGGCAATTCTCCATCGTATTACAACGATTTTCGGATCGTTATAATGACTTAACGATAATTTTAACGATTTTGCTATTCTCTAAGCACAGTATAACGATTTTCGGATCGCAAATTAGACTTATAGCCTATTTCCACCGGAGTTTAAATGCATTTTAGCTTAAATGTATTTAAACATCGCATTTAAATGCGGTAATTCCCATGTGTTTGTTGTTGTATAAAAAGTCACTTTTCAAAGTGAGTTAACTCACTTTCGGCAATTTAACAGAAAATGTTATGTTAACATTCGATGCTGTCACTAATAATGTAATAATTTCGGAAGTTTCGGTGTACTTCTTGCCAGAGTCGTGTATTTTCGGATTTAATGAGGGGCGAGATTTTTATTTTGCATGGTGAAATTTTTTGTATAAAAATTCCTTTTTTGCATTAGTTTTAACATAAATGCCTATATTAAGTAATTGGCGAAGATAATGCTTCTCCGCCTTCAAAAAAAAACTATAAGAAACAAACAAAAAACAATTGTGAAATATAAAACGATCCCCTCAACATAAAAATATACGTGGCTCTGCTAACTATCAGCTGATTGCGCAAAATAAATAATTTGAGGGAACAAACAAACAAATATGAAAATGGAAACATGAATAAAAGCATATTCGTTTCAGCAACGTTTGTCCGTGCAGAAATAATCTGCACTTGCAAGTCTTAAGATTGCATAAATAGCCAAATAAGATGAATGCGGTCTCTTGAATTCATGATTTCTATAGTTGTGGCAAATTTTATAAACTGCAAATGTAAACAAAAATCAGCTGTTTGAGTTAACTCACTTTCGGTGGAAACGTTTGACATTTCATTTACTTAACAGAGGCCTTAAATGCATTTAAGTGCTTGGTGGAAATAGGCTATTAGCGATATTTTTAACGATAATTGCTATTTTCTAAAATGATATAACGATTTTCGGAACGCAAAGAAGACTTAGCGATATTTTTCACGATAGTCGCTATTTCTAAAACGGTATACGATTTTGGGGTCGGATAGAAGACTTAGGGATATTTTTAACAAGATTCGCTATTCTCTAAGAATAGTATAACGATTTTCGGATCGCAAAGAAGACTTAGCTATAATTCTAACGATTTTAATATTAGGTGTACTTATTTTAACGACATTCACTCTCGTTTTTGTCGAAAACTACTCGACAAATCGCTAACTAAGGCAGAATATAACAACATTATCTACGGAGAAACAAATAGTAATATAGCTTTTAAATATTTTTTCAGATTTTACACTATTAAAATGCTTCAAGTTTTTTTTTTCAATTACTGTTGAAGTAACAAAGTTCATTATATTTGTACACAGATACGTGATCTTTATCGCAAGATTATAGCGGCAAATGCCAAGTACCCAAGAGTGCGGCACGATTATTTTATTTGCAAGCTCCTCTATTCAGCAAAGAGTCATGCATGAAAGTGCAATTAATAACATGTTTTTGATTTGATAAACTTTGTAATGCATTGCTATTCATTTAATAAAAATTATTTCTATAACAAGTTTACTTTTTTTTGTCATTCCTCTTTGTGTTTTCGTATATATTGACGTTTTGTTAAGCTGTGGTGCAACCTTCCCTTCATGTTAATAAAATGGAAATGTCTGTTATCGAACTCGTAAAAACTGAGAGAATCGCATAATCGTTAGCGCAAGCGACAAAATTAATAGTTGCGAACTGCGATCCGACAAAGCGTGTCGAAAAAGTTACAGAATTGCACTGCAGATAGGCAGTGCGTTCTAGATATTTTTCGGAATACCATTTTATTTATTATTTTACAATTTCCAGCTGTCAAATTAGCTGCTCTTTAACAGCTCACCGCCACTCAATGTTGGCGTGAAGTTAACCGCAACTTAATTGTCAGATGCGCCTTAACCGGACATTGTGAAAAAGAATTTTATGCTACCTTTCGATTAAGTTATGATAAGGTGCTTAACCGGAGATGGTGAAAACGACCCTAAGCCTTGCAACATGAATGAACACAACAATGGTAATTATTTTTGCTGAAAGCGTGCTGGTTTTGGCAAATGTGGTAACACCGCGAATGAGCAAAAAATTTCTTTTCAGAACAGCTGGTGTACTTTCCACATATTTGAACGAGCGGGAAAGGAAATCAGTAATATGTTGATTGGATTGTAATACTATTGTATATATTACCAATCTTCTGTTTTTCATTTTTAGCTGTTCATATGTTTGCTAATTGTATAATACCAACATGTCCTCTCAACTGCAACAAATAGCAGCGTTATTGCCGGAATTGCGTTCTGATAAGCCACCGACACGAAACAAAGCTGCAGAACGCTTAGACGTTATTCTAGTGAACTCCAAGGACGACCTAATACACAGACTTCGAGGCAAACATGCGGAAGATCTTACATGGAGTGATATATTTTGCAGCGCTGTAGATGCAGTTCTCAAAGTTTGTATTAGAATCCTTGTCTATATGTATGTTATTTAAGTTCTGGTTTATAGCACGCCGCCAAAGTTGTTGAGCTGAACGATCAAAAAAGTATTCAAGCTATGCTTAATAAGAATCATGTCTACCGATCAGTTATACATAAAATAATTGATTATAATTTAGAAAGTTTGTATTACATTTCTACTCGTTTTTTATTTCAATTTAATTCAATGGTTTGTTTTGCAGATTCGAATTATTTTCTAAAGAAGTCTGTGATTTATCAAGCGTTTTGTAACGGTTTTAGCACAACCAGTGCAGTAAAAATTTTTGGCAGTTTGTTTATTCAAATTCTTGAAAGGGGAATTTACAAATGCCCATTATATGTTCGAGAATTAAAAGTTGAGGAATATAGCAGTAAGTCACAAAACTTATTTGCTTATAGTCTTTAGTATTCAATTTGCATATTATTAGGCATTCTGTCCAACCTCTTTGAATTATCCATACCGGGGGATGAGATTCTTCACTTTGAAGTGTTGAGCTGTATTGTAAAAACAATTACACTGGCAGTGGAACACGTTCACATACAAGACGAAATTATAGATTATTTTCCAGAGATTTTGCCATTTGCCCGAAGAGCTGGTGATGATCGAAAAAAATCGGATGTAATAAAACTATATTACTTTTTTATATCACAGGTAATCATTGTTATAAAAAATTAATTAAAATAAAAAGAAATAATTATTTCAATTTTTCTGTTTAGTTAGCTATAGATTATCATCATACAGTTTGCGAATCTCTGCAAGAAATTTTACCAGTTTTATGTGATCTATATATTGTACAACTGAAACCAGATGTAAAAGTAAATATATTTTTATAGGAAACATATAATGTAATAAATTCATCTTAAATTAATTTAATCGGTAATGGATTACTTTTTAGGAAATGTTTTTTTCATCTGTTTACTTTTCAATACATGCCATATACCCGAATATCAATAGTGGTTGTTTTAAAATGTCGCAAATAGTAGTAAAAGATAACTGGCCCAAAACTATGAACAAACTAAAATCATTAGTAGAACTGGAAATCAAAGAGCGGAAAATGATAACCCAACGTCCCAACCATGCAGGACAAGAAAAATGCTTTAATCAATTCATCGAAGCGGCCTCTGATATTGTATATGTGGTAAGTTCGTTGTTATACTAATTTTGATTACTAATATTTTCGGTGAACTTTTAAAGGTATTTTGGCATATTCAAAATGAAAGCGTAGACCGAGAAATAGATGAGCCTGTAAAGAAAGTAGCAAAAGTTTCAGACAAAGTGGATATAATATTGCGTTTTGTTCAAGAAGATAAAGTGGTTAACGAAATCTGGTTTGTATTAAATTTAATTGATGTATATATATATATATTTAACCGGACGCGATGTTCGAGTGAATAGCATTGCTTACTGCCACTCGTAAGATCAAAGTCTGAGTCCTGGCACGTTCAACATCCAAAAATCATTAAAAATTAATTTGAATAAAAAATTAAATAAATTTTTCTAACTGCGGGCGCCCCTTGGCAGAGAATATGTCTCTAACATGAAATAAAAGCTTCTCATAAAAAATCATCAGTCGTTCAGAGGCAGCTTAGTATGAACTGTAGGCTTCTCCATTTGTTGGAGAAATTATCAAGACGCACACCACAAATTGGAGGAGGAGCGGTTACAAAGCGCCAATTATATATGAATCAGTCATGTACTTTTCTCCATTTTTCGTCTGCTTGTGATTATTTATTTTAAAAAATATACGTTTCAGGTTTGCGATTCTTGCCGCTGTCCTAAAAAACCATCATCACGTTATAAATCTCTCAAATTATCACGAATTACTTCAATTTATTTCAACGGTGCTGAACATATCGGCCAGTGGAATCATCTGGCGTAGCATAAGACGAAGTTTGTTAGCGATTTTATTGTTTGAAGAAAAAGAGTCAAGTAATCGTGACATTAAAACCTATATCAATTATTGTACGGAAACGTGGAATAAAATAGTAACATTCTTAATATCAGAATCATCCGAAAATAATGATATTATTGTAGAAAAGCAACTTTTGTTGCAATCGTTAATAAATCATCGAAAACTTTCGGCAGAATCGAGTAACAGTTTAATCCAATCTATCATAAGTAACAGTGTTTTAAGGCGAACTGAAGCTTTTGAAACTATTCGTCAAATATTGATAAATGCTTACAATTGTGGAATAGACAAGAATTCGATCACTATTGAAAAGATTTTAGTCTGGTCCTATGAGGTGAACGAAAAAATAAATGCTCGGAGCATGTTACTTAACATTGCGCCCGTCGATATAATGCTTATAAACGATACATGTGCTATAGCTGTAACAAATTTTTTAAACGAGCAACAGAAGTTTTCAACAATACCTCGCCAGCAAGAGATTCAAATTAATTCCGAAAATTTAAACATGCTCCAATATAAATACAACATAAAATATTTGTGCTTGGAAGAACATGGCAAAGCTTTGAGATCAATGCAAAGTCCAACTCAGTCATTTGGTACTTCCCCAAATACACTGAATAATTGCTTATTTCAGAATACTTATGAACTGTTAATGCGTACTGTAAATTTCGAAATTTCAAAAGAAGTTACCTGTAGTAGCATTATTTCGGATATGACGTCACTAAACAAATTAGCGGATTTGATGAAGACCTTCTTATACTATGAAGTTTTTACCAGCGAGAATTTATCGCAGTGTCCACTAATTAAACGTATTGGGTTTTTCCTTAGTCATATGGAGGTATATTTATTTGGTCGTCCGTATTTATAAATTATTTTTTTACTTTTTATTTTAAATAAATGTTTTTTTTTCGGCAGTTTCAATTAAAAAATAATGATCCTCGAAATACAGAACGTACAGAATTATTAGAAGTTCTCCAACATTTGGAACCGTTTGTAAAAACTTTTACTTCCAATGTTGCGTTGATACAGTTTTTGGAATCACAACCATTGGATGAGTTCATTAACTTTTTGGGAACAAGTTTGTCACACAGTGGTATGGTTATTAAAGTTATTTATTTACGTCTACTAATTTTATAATTTTACAGCTTCTGAACATATACGAAGTAAAAGCGGTGACTGGGCTGATATACGTTTTATATCGTTACGAATACTAGCTGAGTTATGTGCTAGTAATACCCATCAAAAAGATGCATTCCACCATATTTCACGATATGTTTTCAATATACGTAATGATTTGGATATTATTCTTCCACTTATAAAAGTAAGTGCCCGGCCAATGTAGTTGCTTTCTGCATTTTCTCCAATTACAATACATTCTATAATTGGTGTCGTAATACGTAAACGTTATAGGTTAACAATGGGGAAAATGAAAATGCATTAGGACAAATGAATTTTCCTGCAATATTTTAATATCGCAATCAGTGACATTTTTTAAATGATTAAATAAGTTTAATCTTTTTTTAAAGGGATATTTATAATATCAATTTTTATATCAAATTAATTAATTAGTTGACTTCTGCATGAGTTTGATTCAGTTTTTCAAATCACATTATATGCTTGCTGCAAATAATTGTATCTTATATTATTATTTACGAGCACAGGTCCAACATATTATGGATTTCTTTAAAATGCAATAATTAAATATAATATATAGGATGTCAGTCGAAAATATATCTGCTTTGTAGAACCATATCTTATTGAAGGACTTTCGTCATTTTACTTAGTGCTTAGAAATTAGCTAAGCACTGCTTTGTTGCTTGTTTAGCATACAAGCATTTATAGCTATTAATATTTTTCAGATATTTTGCAAGCGTATGAGAAAAGCCGAGCTTGAAAACTGCTCAATAGGCGAATGGTTCGTTGATAAACTAAAGCTTATCTTCAAATTGTATTATACCGATCTTAAAATTATCGATAGATTAGTGGACATGCTTCCAGGTAATTGCTTATGTTTTATTACTAATTAGGATCGCTACAAATTTATCTATTTATAGAGATCTTCGAATATGTCTACTCAAATAATGAGTTATTGAATAATATGGTCGTGGCATTAATGTCTTTACTCAAAATAGCATACAAAAAGAACTATTCTACGCGGATTACAACCAACTTAATAAAAAGCGTGCGTTTAATTTCGGAAAAATGCGAAGGAATCTGGATGCAAACCGGTTTTGTTAGTATTTGTACATCAGTGATAAAATTTTTGGCCTTTCAATCGCTTAGTATCCAATTTTCTGTGATAAGCACTCTAATATCGTTAATGGATGGAGATTGGTTGAAAAATACAACAACAAAGTTTAATATTAACGAACATCAGAAGATGTGTGAACAGCTGTTTTCAACAATAAATTTGAAAGATCTATCGGTAGATTAAAATTAACAGACGTAAATTACAAATATATGCTATGCTAAATAAAAATTTATGCATCTATTACAGGATTCAACTATCGACTTAGTACAAAATAGGAACTCAGTAGTGGTGCAACTCTTAGTAGCTCTCGTCGGTTTTAGTTCTTATTACCAGGAACATGCTTTAATTGAGTTGGGAAATTTTTATGCTTCAAAAAAATTAGTGGAAGGTGGTATTTTTTTCTTTTATTAAAAATCTGCTGATAATAATTAAGTATGTTTTTCCCTTTTGCCTCCATTTAGCCGATTTAAAAGAGTTTACACAGATATGTAAATTTTTTGGTAGTTCACAATCGGAATTGATCAAACCTTATATAAACAGTTTAATCACATCATGGATATCTAAAGAATGGCCAATTTTAAAGTATGCATTTTTTTTTAAATTTATTATTTGCTTGCGCTTACCAATTCTTCTCCAGATTTCCGTATTTCCTCTGTTATTCTCATAGAGATGATTTTATTAAGGAAAATATTGCTATTATTGTGGCGTGTACATTGCTACATATTCCAACTGCAGATTTAAAAAAACTGAACAAATATGCAACTGATGAAGAGCTTATTAAGGTATTGTAATATATAAAGTACATTTATTTAAGATTATTTAATAATTCATATTATAATTTTTAGAACTCCCTTCCAATTTTGGAAGCATTCTTGCTGCCCTACAAGTCATGCCCACAATCTCAAACAGAAAAGTACAAGAAGTATATCAGTATATTAAAGGAAAATTTAAAGCGACTGAAAATAGCTTTCCCTCAATCAAAAATACTCGATTGGAGGACAATATATTTTACTTACACAATTTTAAAAGTTGATAACCTTACTACGGAGACTTTTGAGTTCCCAAGTCTGCGTGTCAAATCATCTTGGTACAACTTAAATTACGAATCATTAAAAAAGTCCCTTAATGTGTATGTGGTAAGTGCATATGAAATACATTTTATGGAGAAACATATGGAGAAACCTGTGAAATAATTTTACCTAAGAGAATTGATATATGTTTTTTTTTTTTGAGCTAAAAAATCTTTACTACTGAAGGAATGTCATTTTTATAGGCTGATCATAACGACGTTGGTGAACCAAAAATGCTATTTTCATCTATTTGTAACCAACCACTTGAGTTCTTAAAAGTGCTTGGTGCTCTTAAAGCAGACATATATTCGTGTGTTTTTTCAAATACAAAAATGTCGAGCTTTTATAAATATTGTATTGCAATTGATATGATCATTGACTCCATCCCAGCGCACATTAATTTCGAAAAAGATAGCAATATTGCGGAGTTCTTTGCTAGTGATGGAATTTTATTTATAACACAATGTCTCCAAAAAGGTGTTGGTAACTAATTTTATAAATTGATAAGAATTAATGAAGTGTATTTTTAGTGCGCTATACTGAATTGCAGAAGATTGGAATCCTTTTTTTGCAACATTTCTTCGAAAAGTCTTTTATGTCTGTTGGTGGGGGAAAAAAGATTATAAAAAACCACCTGAATGAGATAACGAAATGTTTAATTACATTGGCTGAAAACAATTCGTCCCAGGAATCAGAATTGTCTCTTAAGTTATTACACTACCTCTTCAATGAATTCGGTGAAGATGCTATGGTATTTGATCAACTTCCTGACTCGGAGAACTTTTTGGAACTATGCAAACTTCAAAGTAAACGGCCAAGGTCGCCTAATAACATTAAAGATTTGTTGAAAATATTGGACTCTTCTATTTTGATACAAAAATGCAGCCATGACTCATTAGGAACAATAAGACAATATGTAAGTTGACTTAACCTCATGTCTTTCATTTACAGTTAACTGGTATTATTTCTATAGATAGCGAAAAATAAAGAAAAACTGTACCTAGATGGAAAACTTTTCTGTAACCTGATTCGTAGGCTTCTGGAAGTAGTCTGTATTGCTCACAATAATAATTTACGTTTAGAAGCTGCAAAATGTCTTGGGGAAATTGGTTCACTTGAAATACCTAATGCTTCATTTTATTTTGAAATGAATTCCTCTTTCTATGACAACGTGAGTTTGTATGACTTTAAATCAACTTTATATACTATAACAATAATTGGTTATTGTCGATATTACATAATCTAATATTTTTATATTTATATTATTAAGTGTTAATAATCTAATTTAATTACTCTTAATAATTGATACTAATCTTATATTCGGAGGTATTTTTAAAACGTAAATGATCCGTCTTTTTGATGAAAAACAATGTGTAATACTAATGTAATTAATGTAATTTACTTTTTTATTTTTTCCTAAAAAATCTTAACAATATTGTATATATTATCATTAAGATTACGAGTTCAATAGGAAGTAGTGAACTTTTCTCACTAAGTGCCGCAAAAATATTGGAAACAACTTTGAGCCAATTCGAAGCCACCACCTATGAATCCGTGCTTGCAGTAACAACACAGTTAATCAATACTAAAAGTTCCAAATCAATTATAGGTAAACATGTTTATAAAAGACTAATACTATGTTGATCAAATTGGAATATTTACAAATACAGATCAACATCCATATTTACAAATTTTTCAAAGCGGTAACCAGACAAAACCCGAATGGTATCCAAGCGGTAATATTTCCGCTATAGATTGGCTAGAGATTTTAAACTCAACCGGTGCCTTAGAATGGAGTAAATGGATTTGTGCCTTTTCCAGTAAAGCGTTTGAAAGCTGCGGTTGGATATCATTTTCTAATTTAGCATTACGAGACACGTATTTTGCAAACGAAATCATTTTGCCATTCATTACGTTGTTAATGTCAAATAAGGAACGACACATGAATAGTATTATGTTAATGCTTCAACATTATTTTAAGGAGCTCAGCACTGTTCTTGATACTGAAGGTAGTCAGCATATTAATGTTCAGGAGATTTATAAGGATAAACGAATAATAAAAATTTTTTTAAATATTTGTGAATGCATTCGTGCCAATAATGAATGGTAAATCGTTTAGAATATTCCTATTAACCGTTAAAGTAATGAATATAATATGTATGTTGTATTTCAGTTCTATACCAATGAATCATCTGCATATCGCTAAAGCCAGTAACCAGTGCCAAGCTTTTTTTATGACGATCCTTTACACGGAGTTGTGGACGCTATCAAATAATGAAATGAATGTTAATCATATAAAGTTAGACGATAAACTGAAAAATCCAACCTTTCAGCAAGTTGCTACAAAGGTATGGAATATTACAAATTTTTGAATGCTTAGCTAATTATTGTATATGACAAATTTAGGCTCTAAGAAAAAATCAGACAAAATAATTTGCCAACAGTCAATTTTAAAAACATTACTTTATAAGACATGTCTGTCGGGACAAGAACTGTAGTCTCATTTCAAAGTTTTAAACACTAAATACGTTTGCCCCGGATTATTTGAAATTTTTAATTGTGCGGTATTATGTTCTTTTTTTTTGCGGTATCGAATTGTATCTTTTAAATAATACATAACTTACTAAAATAACATCTCAATTAACTGCTGACTAAATTTATTTTATTTTTCTAACTTTAGAACTACGCAAACTAGCGTTCATAGAAGCAAATGTGGCGATGACTACAAAATTTACTTAAATTTTCTCTTTCTGGTAGGACTAAATTTATAATACTGAGTTCATAAAACCACAAAATATAATAATAGCTATTTAATCCGCTGCGAAAAATGACTAAGTAAAAAAACTGGTTCTTTTGAATTATGATTATTTTCATTTTGCAAAGTTATTTAAGAAGAAATATGTATTAGCATTTCATTAATAGCTTTCTTTTTATTGTGCGTAGAAGCAAATAGCGCAAGAATTAATTATCAAAATAATTGTCCCTTAATTAATTAATAAATTTTGGTTTTGCGATATATATGTATATAATTTTTAATTTTCAAATATATCAGTTTGACAGAACTATCGACTACATTTACATATGTATTTATTCTCACATTTTTTCTATTCCATATGCAGGCTTACAAATCTATTGGCTGTTACGATGCCATCTCTGGTTTCCTATCCCCCATACAATCTCGTCTTGAATTTTTAAATTTAAGCAACAATTGGTCCGAAATGTTGCTTCAAAATTCGTTTGAAAATGCAGCATCAAGTGATCTGTGCACTGCTGCATTAAAACGAAATGGCATTTTGTGTCTAGCCGATTTAGGGAGCAAGAGCACCGACAAGTCCGTTGACCATGAGGTACTGTGGCGGTTATGCCAATGGGATATGCCTGTGGAAGGCCATTTGAGAGTAAATATTGCAAATAATCAAGAAGAAGAATTTAAGAAGCATCATTTTAATGCTCTTAAATGCCTTTACAACCGGGAGCAACAAAATTGCTTAGCTGCTATAGCAAATGCTCGGCAGTGTGTGATTCACAACCTAATGGGAATAAGCATCGAGTGTCTTCAAAGTGTATACAAATATCTTACTTGGTTGCACACACTACAACAAGCTGAGGACTTTTGTCAAGTAATTTCATTTACCCATACTCAAGTAAAAATATGCCATTATTAATTAACTATAAACCAATTGCAGGTACAATTTATTTCCGACCTGGATATTAAGTCAATATTTGCTAAATGGCAATTGGATAATAACCTAAAGTATGGAGGGTTTTATTGCAAAGAAATGTTACTATCTCATCAGATAACCCTTTTCAAAACGGCTGGCATACGTGGTCAAAGGAGGATAATAGAATTTTTCAAAGCAAGTACAAATTGAGATTTACTTGTGTTAATATACACTTTTGTATTAAAATTATTGAAAATCTTAAATTGCTTAATATATTTATTTCGAAACAGTATAGCCCAATAGAAACTTCTTTGTTGAATGTTATTAAAGAATGTAAGAAATCGGGCGAAATAAGTTTGGCGAAACGCAACATATTAGCTCTTAGGGAAATTGAAATTGCAAATGAACACGTTAAGGTAAATATTTAAATCTTCGCACCAAAGAAATAACTAAAAATTTATCTGAATATTTTAAAATTCAAACACATTAAAAACGAAAAACAAAATTCAAGTAATTATATATTTCTACATAATTTAATTAAATGTGGTAAATGTATAAAACTTTTCAATATTTCAGCTGAATTTGTTATTGGAAGACGCTGAAATATCTTTTCGCTGTGGAAATATAGAAATCACTGAAGCACTGCTAAAACATGCTTTGACACATAAAGATTTAGGCGCATGCCCACAACAAGCGCGTGCTCTGCGAATGTATGGAGAATTTCTTCTAGAAACAAATTCACAGAGTTTTGAATATGTTTTGGAAAAGATGTTTACCAGGTCAATGCTTTACTTGGAGAAAATATTTAAATCTCAAAAGTACAGAGAATATGACGAGTTGAGTTTCTTGTATCTGGATGATCTGAAACCCGCCGATTTCGAAAATGAAAACAAGAAAGAGGCCTATAAAGTGATAGCAAAGTATGCCGATCGCGAATATGTACAAGTATGTATGATTGTTATTACTTCATTTTGATCTCCGTAAGTTAAACAATTTATATTAACAGTCGAACATGCTCATAAACTCCGAAGAATTCAAGCTAAAGCGGCAAATTATATTACAAAATAGGCAAACCGCAGATTCAATCGGCAGACAAAACAAAGATCGGGATATTAACCATGGAGTTATCATAATGAAGAAATACGCTAGTTTAGATGAAACCGAAATCAAATTTGTTGAAGAGAAACGCACCAATGACCTTTGCATTGCTGTGAAGAATTATATGAAATTATGTCAAATTGATTCTGGCTTTTCAAGCGCTGAAGTATATAGGATTATTGCAATGTGGTTCGCCAACAAACAAGATGAGGCGTTGCAAAAAGAAATCAAGGATAACATTAATATTATACCTTCCTATAAGTTTATTTGTGCTTTAAATCAGATAACTGCAAGACTCAGTGCTAAACATATAGAATTTGTGTCCATTATCAAAGAAATATTAGTGAAGTGTCTACAGGATCATCCCCATCATACTCTTTATCAACTCTACCCTTTGATATTCGATGACTCGGGCAATAAAGTCAACAAGACTCGATCTAGTATTGCAGCCGAAATAATAACCAGGGGAAGAAACACTTCCAATGCGCACTGCGCGAAACAGTTGGCATTAGTATTTCCAGGCAAGTAAATAGTTAAACGACAAGAATATATATAGGGTTTTCTAATTTCGGCCATAAAAAATCATTAATTATCTTTTGATAGCGCAATCCTTTCGAAAAAGTAATAAGACCCATAGACATTATCCGGAATAATCCGGCTATTATTACTTACGAATTTTTTAGTTGTCAAATTACAGTGACATCTACCGGAATAGCAGGCTATTCGAAATAACACCGCTTATTAGAATATCCTATAGTAACAATATTTGAAATTTCAATTGCAGCTTTAATTCAGTTCGCCAATGTTGAAGCTGAAAAGAGTTCAACAATGTCATTAGGTGATAAATTGAAAAGAATGAAGTGCTTAGATGCTGTTCACTGCCCCACCATTGAGCTACCGGTATTGCCTAGTAAGGACTACACAATAACAAGTATGTATTCATGTACATGTGGAAATGTTAATAATCTTTTAGTATGCGACTTTTATTTGTGAGACTGTGATAGTCGAATATCTCGACAAATAGGGCACTTATCAGATATACCTAATTCGAGTGCACTGAATTCAATGACGTTGAACATTTTTCAAAAATTCGCCATTTTTTCGCTCAATTAAAAAAAAACGTTTTCTCAATCAAAGAAATTTGGAATCACTTGAAACTCACAGAGCCTGGGTTTTCGAAGTCGCTGTATACAAATACAAAATCATTTTTTTTAAATTCGAAAATGGCGAATACAATAAGCCGGGCAAGTTTTTAAAATCTATCCAAACTACTTGAAAGTCGTTACACCTGAGATTTTTGAGGCCGCTGATTATGAATTTGGTATTGGTTTTTTCAAAATTGAAGTTCAAATCTTTTGCTAGAAGAATGGATTGCCGTTGCGTAACTTCAAACGTCGTACCATGCTATTAAAAACGAAGCTCTAGGATAAGTTCAACTATTTTCCCGCGGTAAGACATGCCTGCTGTAAAAGGCGACTAGAACTCAAAAGTTACCGTGGCAGATTTTTATTCAGCCAAGACTGTCATTCCACAAAAATATTTTTGCGGCTACAACAAAAACAACAAGAATTCAAATGATCTTGCGTGGTTTCAGTGTGATTGCATGAGGCGATGCCATTTGTAAATAGATTTTCTTCCGAATGCAGCAGTGACATTTGAGAATATGTTGTTGAAAAGTATATCAGAGAGGTACTATTTTGCCGATGACAACACTATGTTTGGTTCGCCATCCTACCTTCTTTTACTTCATTCATTTTCCAATTTATAAAAAATCGGCTTGTTTAAAGACCCCGCAGCTGTGTAAATGGTTTGAGCACGTTGAGAGAGAGGAGAATAGAAGGCTATACTGAAGCCCCTCTTAAGAATCTTCTAATTGTTGATTCTTTTCCAACATCCCACATTGATTATAGTGAGATATGTACATGATAAGATTACCATACATATTTATGCCAAAATATGCAAAATTCTAATACCGCTCACACTGTGGGTTTACACCGTGAAAGAGCTTTTTTCCGACAGAATTCACTCCAATATGTAAAAGGGTTTATTGTATTGTTTCAGGGTATTTTCCGACAAAGACGATAATATGTATTGCACAATTTTTAAGGAGTTTGCTTTTTGATGATTTGCCTGCAACTAATGATGTTAGCTACTTCCATGAGGCGTGGAATTCGCTGAAAGGAGAACGAATCAGATGATATTTCTCTCAAAATAGATAGCTGGAAACACAAGCAATTCTCTAACGGTGGAAACCAAGTCCGTGATGGCCAAAAGCCGTTCTAGTCAAAAGCCGTTTTAGTTATCCTTCTTAAATAAGAAAGCGTAAAACACAAGATTAGGCCAATCAGTGGAAAAGCGTTATTTCCGTTGCTTCCGGGTGTTATTATTTGTTGCAAACAAGTCGACTTTTGACTGACCAGATTTGTGTACAATTTGTTTGAAAGCGTAGTTTACTTTATGTTTTATACTCTATCAGCTTCGATGATTTGTGGTGATGTAATATATGTTGCTTGAATGTATAGCTGCTTTCCAGATTTCGGGCTTGTGCTACTTGATGATGGTTTAAGTATATCTCTCTGCTTTTCCCAAAGTTGAGCCAGTCTTTACTCTCCCAGTGAATGAATCACCAGCAAAAGCTTAGCGACTGGCCTCTCTGTTGCAGCACTTTTGGACAATAAGGTAAGCTCAGACAATATTAATGAGCACCTGGTTAAGGAAAGCTTGTAGTGTAGGTCAGTTAGCATTTTTCTTGCATTTCCAAGACCTGTATTGATGTCCTCTATTTTATTTTGATAAACCCGCTATAAACTGAAAAATTTTCAGGCTTTGACTGATTGTCGTAGTATTTGTGCCAATAAATGTACAATCTGGTGACTCTAGGGAAAGACGCGAATTTTTGCTGGTTTGAATTTCTAAAGAGCTTTAGCAAATCGGAATTTCAGTTGAGTTTCCTTATGACCGTTCGTTTAGCAAACGTTCTCCGTGCTTTATCTCAAATTTTTGTGTGTTTACATGTAGCGTGTTTTAATAGAACATACAACACTTCCCGAGTGTGAGCCGCGGTTAGTGACCGAGCAACAGGATGAAAATTAACGCTGTCTTGATATTCGTTCATAACCTTCAAGATACGAAAAACGCGACAACGACTATGCCACATATTGGTTCCGTCAATTTAAATTTTTAAGGATTTTGGAATCATAATCCGCGACTCCAAAAACGCCGGCTCAGTGAGTTTGAATTGAATTCAAAGCTTTTTGATTAAGAATACAATGTTTTTTCCTAAAAGATGACATTGAATTCAGCGCACTTGACTAAGGTATACCGATAGGTGGTCCGTTTGCCGATAAAAAAAGTTCCAACGAGCACAGTGTAATTAAAAATATTACTGAACGATTTCATAAGTAAAAAACTAAAAGGAAAAAGTTAAGCAACAAAATATTCAAGCTATGGGAAAACTCAAAACTAAATGGATGAAAAATTAATTCGGATTAGATTTTCTCGAGAGATCAAAAAAAAAACGTTGGTTTCTGAAAATAATTCCTTAACCATGCAAACATAAAAATTATATACTAACGGTAGAGGATACAACCGTTGAAAACACTTATTTTATTTTCACGTATTCGAGATAATTTATTTAAAAGTTTCTTTCAGGTATCATAAAGTGGGATGAAAGAGTTTCGTTAGTAGGCGGCATTAACGCTCCAAAGAAACTGATGTGCTTGTGCTCTGACGGAAAATCCCGCCCACAACTCTTAAAAGGTAGAGATGATTTACGTCAAGACGCTGTAATGCAACAATACTTTTCACTGATGAACACTTTGTTATGCTGTGATCCAAAAACTAGTGAACGAAAAATTAGTATCCGCACTTATAAAGTTGTGCCGCTTTCCATGCGAAGTGGAATATTGGAATGGTGTGAGAATACCGTTCCGATCGGCTTATATCTGGGCAGTGGAAGCGATAAATCTGGCGCACATAGAAAGTATCGCCCTTCTGACATCACACCACAAAAGTGCCGCCAAATATCCATGGTAAGTATATCATATAATATGTTTGCATATATAATATAAAGGATATTTTGTTTATCTGTAGCAACATCTGAAATCCGATCTACAAAAACGTTTGTTAGTTTATGAGCAAATTTGTGCGCAAATCAAACCAGTTTTTCATTATTTTCTGCTTGAAAAATTTGTGGTTCCAGGTATTTGGTTCGAACGCCGACTAGCTTATACAAACAGGTGAATTGATTTTATTATACAGTACTGAAAAATTTTAATATAGTAAATGAGTTTTCCACTGAATTAGTTTGGCTGCTAATTCCATGGTTGGCTTCGTAGTTGGGCTTGGCGATCGGCATACGCAAAACATACTGATTGATGAACAAAGTGCGGAATTAATTCATATTGATTTTGGTAATAAATCACATTTTTACAGCTATAAAAAAATCTTAACCATCTTATGAAATTGTTTAATTAAAGGGATAGCTTTCGAGCAGGGAAAAATAATGCCAACTCCTGAAACTGTACCATTTCGTCTTACCCGAGATATGGTAGCACCCATGGGCATTTGTGAAACAGGCGGTGTTTTTAAAAAGGCTTGTCAAGCAACGCTGGAGGTGTTGCGTAAAAATCATTCCGTAATAATTACAATACTTGAAGTGTTGCTTTATGATCCGCTCTACATTTGGAATGTAGTACCCTCACCAGGTGGCTCAAATGGTATGGCATTACGAGAATACTGTGTAAGTGTTTTAACTTTTGTATGTAAATATTTTTGCAGATGATGAGAAAAACTTAACAGCACAACGCGCTTTATTATGTGTGCAACACAAGTTGGAAGGAAGGCTAAGTAGCATCACAAGTGCGGTCAATACAGACGTTCAAGTTCAAAGGTTAATAAATGATGCTGTCTCTAAGCAAAATTTATGTCGTCTGTATCCTGGCTGGGATCCGTACCTATAGATTATGTTTTGTTGTCACATTTTTTTTTATATATATTTGTTAAATAAATAAATACTAATTCACGATGAATTGCAAAGGAAATATAAATCGATAGGAAATTCGGTAAGTGCAATCTCTTCCGACAAGCTATGTAACTTCGTGGTCGTAGATAACTTCGTCTATCTTGAAACCAGTATTAACACCAGCAATAATATCAACTTGTAAATTGAACGAAGAATCACTTTGGATTGAGTAGTCAATTGAAAAGTAAAGCTTTCTCGAGACGAACGAAAACCAAAATCTACAAGTCCTTTATCGTTCCCGTCTTGGCTATAGGGTTCGTGGAAGATGACAACATCTGATTAGTGGGCGTTAGGAGTTTTCAAGAGCAAGTTTTGCGAAAGATTTACGGTTCTCTACGAGTAACATAACGGAGAATATCGCAGCAGAAAAAATATTCGACGTTATGCTGAATATCGTTGTTGTTGTTGTAACCACAAAATAATTCCCCAAAGTACTTTTTGGAGAATGTTGCTGGAGTGACAGTCCTTGTTCGGATAAAAATCCGGTATAAAGATCCGACTGTCGCGGGAACTATTGGATTTTAGTCGCCTTTTATGACAGGTATGCCTTACCGCGGGTAAATTCTTAAACCCCTTACCCGCAGGGGCCTGCTGCTGAATATCATCGATGTCTTTGCTGACGATCGCCAATGTGCATTTTCACTATCTTCGCTTTGTCTTTGTTTAGGTGAAGTGATAAAACGCGGAAGCCCTGTACACAAGAAATTTCCTTTTTTGCCAAATTCATTTGTGAAATTATGGATTTTCAGTTTATTGTTATATTTTTGGGAACAAGTGCAGAATACCGACTCCTAACACCGGTAAAAAGCAATTAGTCCACTAATTTAATAATATGTAACATTTATTGTGCAAATGAATAGTATTTCACATATTTTTAAAACTACTCAACCGATTTTCATAAGAGTGGTAATTAAAATACCTTTCATTTATTACCCATATATGTAAATATTTCTTCCACATTTTTTAACAAAAAGAGAAAAGTTTAAAAAATGAATTCTTTTTATAAAAAAATATTATTTTCTTAAAAAAGTTCCGTATTAACCTTACTCAAAAATAAAGTAATTAAATAGACTGCATAATTATTTTTAATTTCATATTTAACTTGTAAACATTTAGATTACCGTTCTAAAAAAATATATATATATATTTTTTCCCTCTTCGCCTTGCACAGTATTCTTAAGTGAAACACGTTTGTAAGATTGATTAGTTTATTTCTCGTACTCTTCTTCCTCCTCTTAGTCTTGGTTCAATTTAAATAAAGTATTATATGCAGGGCCGCCGAGAGGAAAATCGGGGCTCGGGGATAATTCAAATGCGGGCCCCCAACACCTTAATTTCATGATATAACAAATATGTTTATTTGTACTTACACTCCAAATCAACGAGTTGGGGATTAAGATAGAATAGAATTTGAATAAAAATGAAAATGAATGAGTAATCTGGAGCAATTTTTGTTTAAACAATTTTATTAGCTTAGTTTGCATCACAATAGTATTTTAATAGGTAGCAACCCTCAAAAATATGCCTTCCTTGCTTTAGCTGATGCAATGATAATACCGAAGTCAAGTTTTCTAGCTAATTGAGATTCCAAACATAACGTTGCCAGTCCTGAGACTCGAGATTGGCTTGAACAAGAACGATGATAGTTCTTTATTATTGAAAGAACGCTAAATCATCGCTCGGAGCTAGCAACTGAGACTGGCAACGTGCAAAATATCCGCAGAGCAATGCAGATGTTTGGAAACAGTGTATCTAAATTTTTGGTGGTGATTGCATTCAACAAATCGAATGGTCAGTCAGTTACGTCACAGATATTCTAGAAGCAAATTATTCTATTGTATATACGACAATGAAAACACCGGGCCTCTTGCAATCTACGGGCCCGAGGGAAAAAGTCCCCGATCCCCCCTCCCCTCTTGTTGGGCCTGATTATATGCATTTCCTATAACAAGTTGTACATCAAACAAAAGGTAATTTTGTACTCTATTTAATTAACCTTATTTTAAATATTGTTTATAATGTACTTTTTAAATAGAATAATAGTTTTTTTTTTATAAAAAATTCTTCCTCTTTTGCTTTTAAGCATATATATAATATAAAGAAATCGGTTAAGTATTTTTTGAAATATAGCCTTTTCTAAAATTTGAAATTCCCCGCTTTTCCACCCCCTGGCGTCCATAATCTTCATTTTCACAAGAAATGTTATATACCCTTGAAATCACTTAAATATTTCTAAGAACCTCCAATATTTAATTTTTTTTTGATATTCAAGTGTGATTCAATAAAACCGATTTTAAAATAAAAAAAAAATATATTTATATTCTTTGTGGAAAGAGTCGTACATTATACCTCTACATAAATTTGGTAGTAGATCTTCAATAGGGAATTACAGGGGAATAGCAAAGTTATGTTCTGTCCCCAAAACTTTCGAATCTGCCTATTCTGTGTCATCACTTATAGACATCTCACAACATGGATTCTGTAAAGAAAAATCTACAGTATCGAACCAGCTTGAATTCACCACCCATATCAGTTATGGTTTCAAAAATGGTAATCAAACAGATGTTATATACACTGACTTCAGCAAAGCATTTGACAAGGTCTCTCATTCTTCACTTCACAATAAAAAGTAATTTTCAAATATTGTAAATAATTTAGTTAGGGGGTGCGTTGCGAACTGTATGTCCATAAATTAAATAAGTGCAAATATACACGTATGTGTTTCCCCAGAAAATCTTTCCAATCCTTTGTCTATATGATACATAACCATAGTGTTGAACAAGTTACTGACTTCATTGATTTAGGTGGCATAATGGACGTAAGCTAGATTTTAGAAATCATATAAATGCTTGTGCTAATAAGGCAAAATTTTAGCTTTCATTAAACGTTGGATAAAGGAGTTCAAGGGCCCATACATTTCAAAATTACTTTTTACCTCACTTGTTAGGCCCATTTTGGAATATGGCTCAGTTGTATAGAGTCCGCACTATCAATTGTATAGTGATAAATTGTAATCTGTACAAAAGAAAGTCCTACTATTCGCGTTAAGAAATTTAAACTGGGATACGAAAAAGAGCCTGCCTTCTTACAAAAGTCGTTTACGGCTCGTTAATTTACCCATACTCCATAGTTGCAGAAAGATGCTTGGAGTTTTATTGTTAACTAAACTGTTAAGAGGTTCATTAGGCTCATGCAGAAAAAATTTTTAAATCCCCTCCCCTTTTCCCCATGCAATTTTATAGCAGCTCATAAACAAACATGTAGCTGTTTAGTGTAAGAGGCAAGTGTAACCGCGCTCTACCGCGACCAGTTCCGGGTCCAGGGCAGTCCAGACTGTTACTGGTTTTCGGTCACCGGTCTATTGGTAGGACGGCGGGAGGTAAAGAACGCTGGATTGGATGTTAAATAAAAAAATTAGATTCTTCGTTTGACACGTCATGAACTCTCTAAATCTGTTAGCGTATTGTTGCTGCTAATGTCGCACTACGGTTCATTGTTATCATCATTCAAACCAAGTAAAGCACCAGCCGGATTTAACAGCTCTTCGAATCCCATAAAATTTGAAACAGATTCTTCAACATTCATACCTCTTCGCTGCACAATGTGTGTTAGAGATTAATTCAAAACCAAAATGTTTCCTCATCAGACTTCCTTTTCCAGACACCTTTGTTCGAATTGGATCCGAGTTGCCCACAGCACGGCCAATGGTTATCCCATTAAGCTAGAGTTTTTCACTTTTTCTCTATTATCTACATATCCACGATCAAGTGCTCAGATAATCTGTAGCTCTCAAACTTGGCGCGATGTAATTGTTTTTTTTGCAAAGAATTTTTCAACAAATATTTCACGTGGTATTTTTTCAATTTTTCGAAGTTACTTGTTCAGGTGATTTAGTAATTTCCAAGAGATTCTATTTGTTTGTTTTATTTTTTTTACTTCAAAAAGCCTTAAAATATGGGTTTTCGACCTTATATGCAGACATATAGTTGTGAATTAAGCGGAGTAAAGCAAATGTTGTTTCATTTCTATAATCCATGTAGTTTCTTTTTGAAAAAAAAGTTACGCCAATATTGCGTAATTTATCAGTATATGTATTTCTTTATGCGGTGAAATATATACGAAAGTTTAAAGGCAAAACAAGAAAAAATACAGCAATTGCAAAATAAACGAAAGAGTTCGAATAAAAATACAAAATCTTGTTATTTCGATTCGACCTCACGGAAATAAATATTTGTAAGTTAAACACAATTTAGTTTTATCTGTGGTTGAAATGGTGAAGAAAGATGTAAAAACAGAAAATTTACAATTTGTCTTTATATACTTTACGGGTGAATATCGCTTCCACTTTAGTGTAAATTGAGCATAAAAAAGTGGCAAGCTCGAACAGGAAGCGAGAAACTATTAGTTTTGAAAAATAAAGCACGCTTTCAAAAAGAATTTAAAGAGATTATTGATCAACCGAAGCCTGACTTTGGGAACTTTACTGATGGCAGTACTTCCAGGCGTTTCTTTCAAGATTCTGAGATGTCAGCAGCAATTACTAAAGTTGACATAAATTTGATTAAAAAGATGCATACAAAGAGAAGTTTCGTGACTAAGCATGTTATCCTTGGTATAACATGGCTCAAACACTTCATAAATATTTCCTCCATGAACCAAATATAATATCCTACGCCCTGTTATCAATCGGGCAATTATAAGAAGAAGCTCAGGGATCTCGAAACAAATATTTTAAGACTTTTGGACAACATTTTTCTCACAACCGCAGCAGGAAAAAACAAATGAAGACAGATTTAACACACTTTTAATCAGTTCTGCCTACCAAAAGAAAATAACCACAAAAAAAGTGTAGTACTTACCGAAAGAGGCCTAATAAAATAATAATGAAATTGGTGATGATGATGACGGCGGGTGATAATGGAAATATTAATAAGCTTACACGTTGATAAATTTAACAAATTAAATTTTTTGATTGATACAGACGCAATCGTTTCGGCTGAAAACGGG